CAAAATTTCGACTGTGGTATTTGAACGTTTAATTTTATTTAGATTCAATTCGATTTTTGTTAAGAAATATATTTATTTTAAAGATTGTTTTCTATTTATTATTTTCTATAATTGTTCTGTTATTTTTATAAAAAAAAATTGATTAGATTAATTTAAATTAAAAAATAATATCATTCAATGTTTCACAGATTTAATGTGAATATCCGTTTTCATTTTTTTTTAATAACCAACAGAAATATCGTCTATCATAAAAATGCTTGCTCCGGATTATTTGACTAATTGGGTGGTCGCTTACACAAATGAAAAGCCATTTTCTCGTAAAAAATGGAGGTATAGATGATAATTCATCATTAATATTGTATATTATATATGGATTAAGAAACTAACCAAAATGTTTTTGGAATTCGAAAAATAAGAAATAATCAATAAAAAAATATCCGAAAAAAGAGTATCAATATGGATCCATCCACCTAATGCTAAGAAAGCACGACAATGATGTTTTTGCGTAAGGCAATGAATTGCTTGTGTCCTCTAGAGACCCAAGTTCATGAATGCAACACAACCCTACATTTTAGGAACTCTCACTTGTCACTTTATGTGACTTGTCTCTCTTCCCAAACCGTATGTACACTTAATTCCCTCGTATTTAAGCCATCTACCTGTCCATCCATCGTATTACCAATTGATTATGATGTTTGGATAAGCATTGGATCATGCTCTCTTATAATTACTATTATTAAGATTATATTTTTTTTAATGTGTTCTAGTAAATTTGGTTTAAAATCCACAATTCTAGATTCAAGGATCTACCGACTTTTCAAGACTGAATTTTCCGAATTAAGTAGCGGGAATGTGATCTTACGAAACTTAGGAGTCGTCTATTCTAGTTATGGTTCTCTAACTATTGATTATAAATGTATTGATTGTTTTTGTAATTAAGCTTGCAGTTTGTTTTTGTAAAGTCATGTTCATCAACCTTTCGATATATCTTATATTCATGGATTGTGGATACACTCTCATAGTTCAAGTGCCTTACATTAATACATATATACAGCTTTTAATAAAAAAAAACTAGTTTAAAATCATTTTTCTTTTACCATATTATTAGTATTTAGATAATAAAATTTTGACAATGTTTATCCTCTATCATTTATCCCATGTGACATATATAGATAGAAGTTATCCTGCAGACAAAATTTCGAATATAAAAATGTCATTTCTAACCATTGAAAATCTCTTTAAAGAATTAAAAAAATATATGTATATATTTTTTTAATTCAATATTTATTTTGATAAAATGATTTTTTGTCTTTTAAATTGAAAATGATATATGTTATGTAGTTATAAAAATATTGTGACATCACGGTGTCCATAAATATGGAGAATGATCATTGATACGAAAGACCGCAGTATAATCTGACAAGTTTCTAAATGAAATGAACTCTGAGAGTTGTATGAATATGAGACTACAAAAATTAATGATAATTTAAAGGAATTGATTGAACTAATCATATTTATAAGATTTATATACCTCTTCAATTGTATATCTCGATAGAACTTTAAAGTTAAATGCGCTCGCTCTCGAACAATTTTACAATGGTTAAATTCCTATAAAATATTTTTCCTAAAGTGTATGAATAAGGACAAAATACGTTGAAAGATCTTATGTTGGTCACTATAAATAGTTTCTAAAATGACGTTCGACGACGTTACAAATGATATCAATTACAGTTTTGTTGGGTGAATGGATTTAATTCGGTGATCTGTTGACATGTATAGAGGTGTTGCAACTCGCAACAAGTCTTGTATGATTAAGTATTATTCGCAAAATGGTAGGTTTGCTATGTAAATTAAGTAACCGTTAGTTTTGTTTATATAATAAAAATGTAGAAACATGAGGCATTCTATAAAGTCACTTTTTTTTTTTGTGAACAAATATTTTTAACCGCTTGGCTTGCTCTTCCATTAAATAAGATTGATTATCAGACGTATACATATTCAATTATTCATTCATTCATTTATTTATTTCCTCATAGTTGTTAATATTTATTTTTTCAAAAAAAAATATTCCAACATATATGCATATCCATGCATATACACTTTAATGTAAGCCAAAAATAAAGTCCAACAATATAAAGACAAAACGAAATAATTATTCACCGAGAATAATAATAATGGTTGAAGATGCTCAAAGTAAAGAAAAGTGAAATACAATTATTTACTATGAGGCATAATAATTGGAGATTGTAAGGAAATGATGATGATGATATTCTCACTCATTTGCCATCATTATTTATTATTCTTTCGGTGGAATTTACTCTTATAATATACAATTATTCTTTCACGGGCTCATATATGTATGCATTAATATTTAATTAATTAGCACTCATTTCACTTGCAACATCTACACGAACCGTGTGCTTTCAAAATCCATTATATATTTCATAAAGCTTTATTTGTTTTCTTTTTTTTTTCTCGCCAAACTTTGACAACAAAAACTTATTACAAATAATTAAGGACAGATATTTTTATTTTATATATTAAAAATAAAAACCGAATGGAATAATATTTAATCATTTTCAATTATATATTTATTAAAATTTAAAATTAATATTCAACAGTTGGTGACCCAATGGTTGAGAGGTGACAAAATCATATTCAAAGTCTTGAGTTTAATTCTATTAGTTGAAAAGGATGTAATTTCTGAACAAAAAATGGTCTATATACAAAGATTGATCTCAGTCCTAGGGTGGATGTAGTCAGACCAAAAGCTCGGGAAACTATCCTGATTATAAAAAAAATTAAAATTAATTTAATCAAAATTAGACCAAATTTCTTTAATATAAAATAGCATATCTTTTAATAGTTTTTAAATATTATTTTAAAAGAAATGATATCTACAAGTATATAAACTAAAACTAAAATTTTTTAATATATATAAATATATATATATATATATATATATATATATATATTTTAAAATTATTAAAAAATGAAAATATGACCTAAATCTGGGATATCAACCCATAATTTTTTTTTTAAAATCATAGCGAATCAAGTGTCCCAATGAGACCTTTCTCGAAACAAAAATGTCAATCTAATGACAAAAATATTTATAAAAGAAAAAAGAAAAGAAAAGAAAAGAGACTGATTTTTCATATATATATATATATATATTAGATATTACAAGCACTAAAAAAAATATAAACTAATATATTACGTTCTTTCCACTATCCACATGAAAGTTTTCTTTTTTTGTTATAAAATATATTTCTATTTATCTTTTAAACTTTGTTCGGATAGTATGCATGCATACATATATTTCTAAATAATGGAAATTGGACCTCAGCAGTTAGCAGCATGTCCCTATACCTGTTTTATCATATACTATCATATAGCACTGATGGTGTTATTTATCAATAAATAAAAACAGTATTCTAATGCATCTTTATCCATGCCTATATGTCAGTTAGCATTAATACATAATTGATTATTACGTGAATCAAATACATTGAATTTGACTTAAAATATCCACCATTAATTTACCTAGGCATAGATACTGTTTTATTAGAAAGTCGGACCAAAAATAATGTATCTAATAAATACATTGTGATAATTAATCTATTAAGATGTTTTTATTCAAATTATTCGGTTAATATATTATATATATATACACACACCTTATTTTGACCGGATGATGAAAATCTGAGTAGACAAAGGCTTCAACTTTCTGCCGGAATCTCACAACGGCTCGAATTTTTTTCATTTTCCCTTTCCTTTCTCATGTCGCAAGAAAAATATAAGATTTCTTTATAGATATTATTTGGGTAAGTTTTTAAAAACTATTATTATTCGGATATTAATCATACGATAAAAATAAAAAAAACATATTTTGATTTTATTATAATATAATATAAACAATTTTAATATTAATAGTTTTAGTATTTATATTTTTTTATAATCCATGTCCCTAGATCCGCTTCTCCCTTAGCTAGCCTCCTACTTCTTCTTAGTTGATAACGCAAATCTAGGTATAGAAATAATGCTCAAGTGATAAAAACCTAGATACAGCGAATACTGCAAGGATAC